GGGACAGAAGCCCAAGGAAGGGAAAAAAAAAACGGTCCTAAGGAAAAAGAGAAGTTTTCACCTGGCAAAGAGAGAAATCAATCATTGCCATGGTCAGTGGCTGGAGAGCTGTCCGCGGTGCTGACTACCCCTCATTCGGATGAGAATGAAGCCGAAGCAGAGAGGAGCTTTGAACAATAGCGCTGCCCTCTTCTCCCCCCCCCCCCCCCAGGCCTGTATTGCTGAGACCTAGGCTCATTCTGGTTAGTTCTCTGTCTCCTCCTCATTTCTCACTCAAAAAAATGTATCTTCTGTTTTGTTTCAAGACTCCTCTTCCTCTAATTCACTTAGCCCCTTGGTCCTTCTGGGTCTCTGTAGTTCTCACACCTCTCCTAGCCTCCTTTGCATAATAATGGCATTAATAACACTAGCAATCATAATTACAGATAACATGCTTTGAGTACTTGCTAGGTGTCGGCAGAATTCTAAGTACTTTTAGCTACATTAACTCATTTAAATCTTACACCAACCATGTTAGATAGGTAGTTATACTCTCTCATTATACAGGTGAGGAATTGAGGCTTAAGAGTAAGAAGTGTGACCAAGATCACATTAGCTGCAGGATTCCACCCGGTCTAGAGCCTGCACTTTGACTGAATCCGGGTTCCTTTAAATTTCTCATCACTTTTCCCTTATTGCTCCCCGCTCCTCCATCTGGTAGCTTCACTGGCACTGCCTACAACTGCCTAAGCTTCCAGGGGCTAGGAATCGTCCTTGCTGATTTAGTTGATGTTTAAAAAGGAAGCGAAGGCAGCGAACAGACTGAATGTGCACCGTGTGAGAATTCCGAGTGTCTACTGGGCCTCCTTTTCTGCCTCGGGCAGAGGCCCCGTGTCGGGCCACGGCAGCCCTGCATCTCAGGCTCCATCCCGTCTCTTTTGGCTGCCTCTCTGCGAAATGCCTTTCGCCCCCCGCAGTACCCTCGCCCTTTCCCTGCCTCTGAGTTTGATCCAGAGAACTTTGCGTCCCCTCAGCTTCTCACGCCCTACATCCTGCCCACCTAGAGAAAGCGCTTGCTTAATTCTGGCAGGCTCCGTAGGCTCCTGCTACACAATCAGAGAAACAAACCGGTGGGAATACTCGTAGAGAGGCGCATAGATACAAACGGACCCACACGGGCACCTCCCCAGACAAAATCCGCACTCAGATACACACAGACACACAAGCACCCGCATACCCAGAAACACGCAGATAGTCGTGACTCGCACCGCTACGGACGCGCTTTAAGAACATCACGATGCGGGTTTCACAGTCCCTTTCGCTGCTCACACACAGGGACGTGCCACCCCATAGCCTCAGACCTAAGAGAGTCCCCAATGGCCCAGCCTCAGCCCACCCAGGCCCCCCCTCCCTCCAAAGAGGCCTCTCCCCTCTCCTCCTCCTCCTCCTCCTCCTCCTCCACCTCTTCCTCCTCTTCCTCCTCCTCTCCTCCATCGCCTAAAGATGTACAAAACACTACTCAGAATAAACCGGGCTCTGGGATCCTCCCTTCCCACCCCCCACCCCCACCCCCGGCCCGCTCCCCCATTCATTTTCGCCCGTCTCCGGGTAAGCCCCTCCCCCGGCGTAGCCCGGCCTCCTCGCTCCCCGCCCAGAGACCGCGGCGCACTTGGACTTCCCTCTCCATTCGCTCGCTGCCTCGCTCCGGGTCCCCACGGCTGCGAACTGATCTGGCGCGGGGGGAGGAGGGAAGCGCAGGCGAACGAACGCAAGAGAGAGAGAGGGAGAGCGAGCGAGAGAGCCAGAGCGAGAGCGAGAGAGCCGAGGGGCAGAGGGACTAGTGACCGCCTTCCGGAGCCGGGATTCATGCCTGTCCTCGGGACCAGCCAAGGGGACTTGACGGCTGAGTATGAGCCAGGCTGCTAGGAGCCAGGTACCCTCACGCCTGCAGTCCCCTCGCCGTTCCCGGGATGCGAGCTGGACGCCGGGCTCTCCCAAGTTCCCACCGAACCGAATAAAAAGCGTCCGCCCGCAGCTCTCCGCCAAAGACGGACATTGACTCCAGGTAAGGCGGCCCGGGCGCAGCGCCCCGCAGCCCATCTGCCCTTGGAGACGGCGGGCCGCAGGAGGGGCGCCCCCCGCCCGCCCCGCCCCGCCCCCGTTCCTCTCGGCACCTTTCCCTCTCCCCTCCTCTGCCACCTCCGCCTCCGAGTCCTCTTAGGTTCCCGGGAAGGGGGGTTGGGGGGGCCTCTGTATTCTGGGGTGGAGAGGGTTAAATGCGGGTTTTAGGAAGTGGCATGTGTGCTCCCAGCGCGCTCCCGACGTGTGTACCGTGGTAGGACTTGATGTGGTGCTAGTGTGTATTTGCGTGTGCAGCGTCGTGCGTTTGATGTGTGTGTGCTTGGTTGTGTGTGTGTGTGTGTGGTGTGTGTGTGTGTGAGTGAGTGAGAGAGAGAGAGAGAGAGAGAGAGAGAGAGAGAGAGAGAGAATGTGTGTATATACGTACACGGGAGGGGTGAAGAGAGGTCCTATAACCTACTTACGCGGCACGATGTGTGTGTGCATGTTTGTACGTATGTGTTTGTATGTGTCTTTTTAATTAGGTCTCCAGCTTACACGAAAATGGGATCCTTACTATGGGATCACGTAGGCTATTGGGAAACCCGCTGTGGACTTCCTCCTGGGGCTCTGGGCTTGGGGTTTGGGGAGGATTATGGGGATAAGGATGGTGCCTTATTTAGCCCAATATTGGTACCCATGAAGGAAATTCTCCAAAGGATGGAGACCTGCTAAGGCTTGGACTCACCATTTCATATGAACGAAATGGCCAAACCTTGAGGCAAGGAGATGCTGTCACTTTAAATTCCACACTAGGCAGACTCCAGCATTCTGATGGGAATTGGGAGTCACTGGATAGTGGGTGACAGAAAGGGGGAAGTCAGCAGTGGGCTCCTTATCTGGGGCTTGACAAGTCTGGGATAGAGTCTGCCTGCTTCTTCATTTGTAATTACAACAGCATAACAGCACCTTCGGTTCTGGTGCTTTGGGGGAGGATCTGGGCAAGTTTGCATGGATCCCCCTAAAGGAAAAGGAGGAAGAGCCCTCAGGGACTTGCTCATCCATCATAGTTCCACGGGATCTCAAATGCCTGCAAATTTCATTGGGGGTAAGCGCTGGGTAATACGAAAGGAGATGGATGGGGTGCTTCCCCACGACAGATCCCTTCTTCCCTTCCCCATTTCAGACAGGCTTGGGGAGCCCACGAGAATATCTTCTTCCTAAACTGTTCCTTCTCATGGTTACCCTGGGAGGAGGCAGAGAGGCAGTGTGTGTGTGTGTGTGTGTGTGTGTGTGTGTGTGTACTGAGGGAGACCTACAATTTGGGAACAGGTTGTGGGTGGGAACTCGTGGCAGGATATGGCGGTAATTGACTTAAATTGCTGCCCTGCTGTCTGTTTGCACCTCACATCTCTTGCTAGGCTCCAAAATACTGCCAAGGGCACAGGGGTGGTGGGAAGGCTCTCAGTAAGGAAGACAGTTCAGGCCAAGACCCTCTTTCCTCTTTCCCCCACCTCCCAGGAGGCTCTCTAGGTAAGTCCCTGGGCCACCCTGGCTAGGTCCTGCTGGGCTGGGACGGTGAGGCCAGCCATTGATTGGATTCCTGGCGGCCTCCTAAAGGCTTGCCCTACTCAGCAAAAATGCTGAGTTTTACTGCTGTTCATGGCTTCCAGATTCGGCAGCTGTTACTTTTCCAAGGTAAGAGGCAGCCGTTTGCCGCCGTTCAGCTCTCAGAAGCAAGGCTAGGGGAGGACAAGGGCTGAGGGGCTGGGACATAGCCTCTTATCTGGCTAGAAAGGGGCTGCTGAAAAGACCTTTTGGGGAAATAAAAGTAGAAATATACATGTCTTAAACATCATTTATATGTATGTATATATGTATCTTCTGGGGAGAAATAAAAGCAAACATGTGTTGGCAGGAACCTGCCCTGACGGGTGGGTGGGGGTGCTACCTGCAAGCACTTGCAGACACACCATTCTCTGGCCAGAGGCTGATACCGGAAACTGAAGCCTTCACAGGGCTACAAGGAATCTGTTCCAGAAACTCCATCAGACCAGAGCTCCCAAGTTCATTCTGGGTGGGAGTGTGAGGCAGAGGAGATCCTATATAAGGAGCTGCTCACATTTTCTCTCTTTCAATCCATAGACAACCAAATCTGGAAGGACTATTAAAGAACAGGCAGGCAGGACTCTGTGGCCCAGAGAGGGAAGGAGAATTCTCCAACATTCTCTAGGAAGTTGGTGGTATGCCCAGGGCTAGAACCTGCCACCCAGATCAATGCCACGCTGCCCAGGGACTATATCTTGCTCCTCACCCCTATCCTGCCACTGTGCTCTTACCCAAGACATTCGCCGTCTTCCCTCATCAAACACTTTTCGGAGACGCATTTCAAAGCTGCTCCATCTGGAAACATGATCCGGGAGAGAAAGGGTCTAATGCCTCAATCATTCTCCTCACTAAACATACACACACACACACACACACACACACACACACACACACAAATACACTCACACACACACTCACACGCACACTCACACTCACACATAAACATACATTCTTTCTCCAATGCCTTCAGAGGATTGCACGCAGGCAGGGGTCCAATACGGGCTGTGATTGTAGAGCATCTGAACTGTACCTGAGCTCTTTATGAAGGCATGACTGCGTTCCATAGAGCCAGGTGTATACCCATCCACTGATGCAAATACTTCAGGCAAATTAATGCCTTTATGTTATTGAGAATCTTGCCCTTATGCATATTATACATGTCCCAGTCACAGGAGCCTGTGTGGGCACACCTGCACTCATACAGGCGTGCACACACAGATCCAGAAACCTTTCCTACTTGCTGTATTCCCCCAAAGCGAACTGCAACCTCCGCACCAAATCGTGTTCCCCTATGTAAAGGCATCACCCAACAGGAAGACGGGGACTCATGGTCACACAGAAGGAGAAATACAAAGGCCTATGAAAGATAGGCTTTTGAGAAGTCAGAATCAGGCCCTCACAGAAGTATGTACCCAGACTCTGAGATGAGTGTTTCGGGGTGCAGGCAAGCACTGAGGGAAAAAATGTGCGGGTTTCACGACCATCTGCAATAATGCCTTTTGCACACAGGTTTTTCTGGGGCTGGATGGCACTTTGGTTCCCAGAAGGGGGAGCTGTGACTCCATTTCAACCAAGGAGAAGCAGCTCAGAGATTCCAAATCAGCTACTGGGCCCCTGTTGAGTTTAGATGGCCCAGCTGAGGCTGCAATGAATTTATTTGAAGCACTACAGGTGGGGACCTTAACAACACTCTCCCCTGCTCAGTCCAGATAAAACATCTTGGGCTTGCAAGAGTTTGTGCCATTGACCACAAAGTCATCATATTTGTATGGAAAGGTCTTTCTTTGCCCAAGGGGCCTTCAGGTGTGTGAAGACACATTTTGTGATTTGCATCCTCTAGTTTGTCCCCTCCCAATTCCTTAGACAAAATCATCAGCACGTATCCCCTGAACAGGCCACTAAGGTTAGGCATATCCTGCCATTCTCTCCCTGCTTCACACTTGCTGAATTCCAAAGATTAACAAATTGACCAGTGAAACCCTGGTAATCATGGTTAAGGACAAGATAGGGGTCATGGTTAAGGACAGGTAGAGGTCATGCAAAAAGGACAAGCCTTCAGAAGTAATTCCCCAAATAATCCCCTCATTGTTTTCCACTCTAATCCTTCTGCTAGGAATACCTTTATCTTGTCTCTTCCATTTCTCAACCTCAGCGTCTACTTTTAATAACCCTACCCATATTTCAACATCCAGCTCAAATGACCATTCCAAGAGGTCTTCCCGAAATCTTATTTGGGGATTAAGCTCTTTCTCCCTGGCTCTTTCACAGAAATGTCTCTGAAACTCCATTTTAACTGTGTCTCTGTTTGCTTTGCTTTATAGCTCTGTGGGTGTATGTCTAGCTTGCCCTCTTCCATATGGTCTTCTAATGAGCATTTTTTTAAATCCCCAAGGACTGACACATAATAGTTGCTTTATAAATGTTTGCTATTGCTATTTTCCAGTTTCAACAGAAGCTATAATCTCTCTCCCTCTCTCTCTCTCTCTCTCTCTCTCTCTGCTTCATATTCACTCAAAGCAATGCAATCATGGCTTTAAGATTGTGTCACTATGTCCACAACATAGGGATGGCAATGATGATACAGAAGGTAAAATTCTGTCCTGCTTGAAGAGAGCATTACCCTACTGTGTTCTACGGTCTTTAGTTCTGTTCTCATTATCATCTTTCTTCTCACCCAGTGCGGCAGATACAGCCCCCTTTTCACAGGACAGTGAACTCATGCTGGCTAGTCCCTGGCCCAAGGTCACATAAGCAACAGAGAAAGGATTGGAGCCTAATTCTTGCTTCAGCATCTCTACTCTTTCCAGTGTACCACTGACTTAATGGTAACCACTGTGAATGGCAAACAGGATCGGGTTGTTCAATAGATGCTAGGAATAGCGAGGGGCTTATTACTTCTTTGAAATTGATGTTATGGGGGAGTCAGGGAGTGATTGGATCAAAGAATCTGTCTTTTCCAGTTTCTCAGTAACCAAACATTCCTCCTCATTCAAGAAGCAGGACTCCTTTTTGTAATACCCATAACACATGGCCACTCAGTCTCATTTTTAGTACTTTTAGCAATAGCAAACCCATTACCACACAAACCAGCCTTGTGTTATATAGAAAGAGCTTTATTGGAACCTTGACCCTAAGTCTGCTTTCTAAGTCTGTGAAGTCATACAGCACAAGTATAATTCCCAATAATCCACTCTTCAGATGCTATGGAAGCATGACCATATCACCACCAGCATTCTCTTTTAGACTCCATTTCATAGCCTCGTCTCCTGCAACATCCATTTGGGTCCCTCACCAAGCTGGAAGTTGTCTTGTGGACATTATCTAGTTTATCTCACTTATAAGGGTTAGAAGCCACAAAAGTGGGGAGGGTGACCTGAAATTGAGAGAAGATTACAAAGG